CTGTAATGTAATCTAACTAGCACAGAAACCCTGTTCTCTAAAGCCCAACTCTAATAACTGTAGTGTAATCTAACTAGCACAGAAACCTGTTCTCTAAAGCCCAACTCTAATAACTGTAATGTAATCTAACTAGCACAGAAACCCTGTTCTCTAAAGCCCAACTGTAATAACTGTAATGTAATCTAACTAGCACAGAAACCCTGTTCTCTAAAGCCCAACTCTAATAACTGTAATGTAATCTAACTAGCGCAGAAATCCTGTTTCCTAAAGCCCAACTCTAATAACTGTAATGTAATCTAACTAGCACAGAAACCCTGTTTCCGAAAGCCCAACTCTAATAACTGTAATGTAATCTAACTAGCACAGAAACCCTGTTTCCTAAAGCCCAACTCTAATAACTGTAATGTAATCTAACTAGCACAGAAACCCTGTTTCCTAAAGCCCAACTCTAATAACTGTAATGTAATCTAACTAGCACAGAAACCCTGTTCTCTAAAGCCCAACTCTAATAACTGTCATATAGCCTAACTAGTAAAATAACATTAACAACCATAGTATATTCACTTTACACATCCTACATCTACACAACATTTCAGTACTGTTTGTGTTGCCAATGGTGAAGTCAGTTCACGCTATATATATATCCTACATGTACAAATATTTATTACTGTTTATGATGTGAATGGCTAAGGTGGTCCAGACTATATACATAAACAACATAGTTTAGTGCTGTTTACGATGTGAATGATGAAGTCGGTTCATACTACATACACCCCACAGGCTTTTTCTGTTAGTTAAACTATAGTACATAGAAAGCGAAAGAATGGTAAACATTATGTTATTTCAAACTAATGGGCTCTAATGCTTTTTTAATTCACAGTACAATCCTGTAAAAGAATTTTGAAGTTTTATTTAATTTGTGAAAGCCCCTGGTGGCTCAACATTATGTCAAAGGGCTTATGACACTAAACATTGGGTTTCGATAATGGCGGTAGGCAGAGTAAATATAACCCATTGTGTAGAGACATATCTCTAAATGAAGAGAATCTATTGTTATTTTTGAAATATTTTAGGTTGTAATGTTTAGTTTGAATTCAGTTTATTTATTTAAAAAGAAAGACAATAGTAAGTAAATGTTAGGTTATCTCAAATTACAGAGTGTAAAGTAATTTTGAATTTAATGTATTAAGAAAGACGCCAGTCATTAATGTTAAATCATTTTAAATTATAAAGATAAAGTTATCTTTGATTTCAGGATTATTTATTAATAAGGAGAAATGGAAAGGGGTACAATTTTATTTTATACCTCAAGGGAAATGATAGTACACCTTATTCTATGAAACACTGCCATATTTTAGCTTTCAGTTTGTTACCAGTATATTAGAGTAATCTTATTTTATCATTCTTTCAGTAATATTTATCTTTCTAAATTGTATTGATTCCAAATTACATTTTTGTTAATATTTAGAAAGAAAACTAAAATTCTATTTAATGTCTTACTGAGAAACTCTTTCTTGATACTGATGTACTAATTAATTTCAGAAACCTCAAATAATGAATTAAGTTCAGTGACCAGAAATGAATAATTAAGTTTAGTATCCTTAAATGATGAATTAAGTTCAATAACCAGAAATGAATGATTAAGTTCAGTAACCAGAAATGAATAATTAAGTTTAGTATTCCCAAATGATGAATTAAGTTCAGTAACCAGAAATGAATAATTAAATTTAGTATCCCTAAATGATGAATTAAGTTCAGTAACCAGAAATGAATGATTAAGTTTAGTATTCCTAAATAATGATTAAGTTTAGTAACCAGAAATGAATGATTAAGTTTAGTATTCCTAAATGATGAATTAAGTTCAGTAACCAGAAATGAATGATTAAGTTTAGTAACCAGAAATGAATGATTAAGTTTAGTATCCCTAAATGATGAATTAAGTTCAGTAACCAGAAATGAATGATTAAGTTCAGTAACCAGAAATGAATAATTAAGTTTAGTATTCCTAAATGATGAATTAAGTTCAGTAACCAGAAATGAATGATTAAGTTTAGTAACCAGAAATGAATGATTAAGTTTAGTATCCCTAAATGATGAATTAAGTTCAGTAACCAGAAATGAATAATTAAGTTTAGTATCCCTAAATGATGAATTAAATTCAGTAACCAGAAATGAATGATTAAGTTTAGTATCCCTAAATGATGAATTAAGTTCAGTAACCAGAAATAAATGATTAAGTTCAGTAACCAGAAATGAATAATTAAGTTCAGTAACCAGAAATAAATGATTAAGTTCAGTAACCAGAAATGAATAATTAAGTTTAATATCCCTGAATAATGAATTAAGTTCAGTAACCAGAAATGAATGATTAAGTTTAGTATCCCTAAATGATGAATTAAGTTCAGTAACCAGAAATGAATGATTAAGTTTAGTATCCCTAAATGATGACTTAAGTTCAGTAACCAGAAATGAATAATTACGTTTAGTGTCCCTAAATAATGAATTTTACTATGGTCAAACCATAATTCTTTTAGCAGAGCTTCAATTAATTTTATGTATCTTATATTTTATAAGTAAACATATGAAATTCACTTGGTCTATTTTAGTGTATATTATGGAGGACATGGAGGAGGATATGGAGGATGGCACTAACTGAAATACACATCATTTTCTGTATTTTTTATCACATTTGGACTTTCTTGTGAACATTATATAACTGATTTTTGAGTCAGAAATAAAAATGACTTATTCACAGTAATAAAAAAAATATTTACTTCCACTATGGTATTTCCCTATGTTCTCAATTAACATAAACATGACATTTTGTGTGCAGTTATTTATGTCAATATTTAAGTAAAAAATAATAATGTTTCCGTTTTCACCAAATCCCATAATAAATTTAATAAATATGTTTTGTGAATTTTGAAAAGTTACAAAATTATCAAGTTAATGTGTGGAGCCTGTCCAAAGATAACTCACATCATTAACATGCCCTTAACGACTTAGCTCGGAGTTCGTAAAATAGGATTTTGCTGTTGTTTAACAAAGATTGTGTTGTTAAAGGTTTTGGAGGGATCTATGTTTAGGAACGTGAAACTGTTAGAATGAAGGAAGTCGTTGATTTTACCGTGATAACCTTGTTTTTTACGTACAACTGTCATATTACTTTTAGACGCTTTTATGATTATTAAACTGTCATATTTCATTTTAGATTATTTTGACTTAACCAGCTTTGACTCCTCATCTCCATTTTTAGCATAGTCCTGGGAAGAAGTTTGAGTCATTTTAGAGCATACATTGTTTGTTACAGAGTCAGATTCAACATTAAATCTATATCTGTTGCAAGATTCTCGTCTTTTACACGTAACATTGATTTGGTGCAATATTGTAAACCTTTACTTAGTAGATTAGACTCATTTTTTGAGATCTCGGAGTCTGAAAGGTTTACTAACTTAGGATGGAATGTTGAATGGTAATCTACTACTAGATTCGAACTGTTTTCATGTTTTGTCAGATTATCGTTTTCTTTTCTGATTCTTTACACAACACCTTATTGAAACTGTAAAAAAAAGGTAAAAACTAGACAGTCTGGATATTTTAGAAATAAATATAAGACTAAAAACAAATCCAGAAAAAGTTCTAAACAACCAAACCAACTTAAGCTCCTCCCCACTTGTTTCAAGGTCACTTCTGGTTCTTTCGTTAAATTATATATAAACCTGTTTACAAACCATTTCAGTCTGTACCTGATGATTCCTTTACTGGCGAAATTAAGGTCGTTAATAAATGAAGTTTTTGTGAATCGTAAAATTGTTTTTATTTTTCCACACTATTCTGTAAGTTACTATAGGTTCCACTTGGATAATAAGATTATTGGGTAACTAACGAAACTAAAAACATAAAGACAATAAGCAGGTTACAGCTTCTCCCACGTGGATAACAAGATATAAGACATAAATTAATCAGGTTATTTTTCTTCACACCCAAATAACATGATCAACACTTGGAAACCAACCAGATTACAGTAAATAGAGTTATACATTTTTATAAGAGTGATGGTGGTGACTAGCTGTCTTAATTATGCATTAATCCCACGTACTCCACTCTGCATCACCCTACTCGTGTCACCGTCATCCACGACAACACCTTATACTCTCCCTCCATCCGATGTTACTATCACGTGCATAAACAAACACACGTGCTTTCCACGTGCTCCGGACGACTCGACGTGCCATTACATGCAGGCAAGTTCTTCTTCCTTCGACTTTCTTAACGGCTTTTCCACTTATTTAATAACAAAAAGACCCACCGAAATCAGAATTAATAAATAAATAAATTATCCTAATCATAAACAACTGTCGGTTCACCAAAAACCGGTTTTTGGAAATCCGTCAATACTCATCTCCGCGTGTGGGGCTGAAGAGAAATCCACAGTTTCTGAGCGCCCCTGGATGTCGCACAAGCCCCGGACGGGTTTGTGTGATATTAAACCAAAACAACTGCCACGATATATATATATATATATATAATAGCTACCTTAACTCTACAAGTTCTTAATGAAGGCTGCTGGGGCGGATAATTCTTATATAGTTTTGTACGAAAAACAGAAACAAATAAAATAATATAGCCATCGCTGTGATTAAATTCATTCACTGATCTGAAATATGGGATAAAATAATTAGTTCTATTGACTTTACAATCAGTTTACTGGTGTAAATAAGATAGTTCAGTAAAATATTATAAACAAAAACCAACAAACATAAATTATGTTAGGTTTGGTAAGAATATAATGTTGGATGTACAAACAAAAACCAACAAACATCAAGTAATGCTTGGTTCAGTAAAATTATAATCCTGGATGTACAAATAAAAACCAACAAACATCAAGTAATGCTTGGTTCAGTAAAATTATAATCCTGGATGTACAAATAAAAACCAACAAACATCAAGTAATGCTTAGTTCAGTAAAATTACAATCCTGGATGTATAAACAAAAACCAACAAACATCAAGTAATGCTT